TGTACAACCAAATTGTTTAGGGGCTGTGTGCATTGTAGACATATCGAACTGTTACTAACTTAAGACAAACGAGAACTTTGTGTTCTTATTATAATTGGAGGTGGAGCATGATGAGAAATCGTCGGAAGATGCTGAGAGAGATTTTTGAAGAAGAGTGCAACCTTTTCAGACAAAAACTAATAAAAACTAAAATTTGAATATTAAAACTCTAAGATATTAAATACCTTATAATATTTTTTTTAGTGTAGGGAAATACGCAAGGGTACAGCTAGCTTGTACAATGCTGTTGTCCCATATATACAGGGTGTTCTATCTCTTATGTCGGTGAGCGATTGCATCAGATATGTTTCGGAAACATCAATTCAGTACAATGTTTGCCATGGATCGCTTCACGCCGAAACAACGCGCTGAAATAGTGACACTTTACATCGAAAACTGTGTTAACTCATCGTGCATATCGGAAAAACGTCTGTTATCAAAAAATGGTGACATAGACTGGCCTTCCAGATCACCTGATTTAACCCCACGAACTTCTTTTTGTGGGGTTATATGAAAACCAATATTTATTTCAAGCAGCCTCAAATTATTGATGAGCTCAAGACAAAAATTCGTGCTGAAATCGACGCTATAACGGAACGGTAATAGCAAAGCTTACAAGCACAGAACGCACAAAAATGTGAGGTTATCCAATTCGTTTGGCATTCACTGCGTAACATTATTTTTTCTTAGAAGAATACTTTTTTTAACTGGAAGAATAATTCCTATTTTACGGGCTCACGCCGTCAAATCTTTAGCTGAAACTCGAAAAAACGTTCTGTGTAACAATCCATCCGTCCAAAAGCCGTAAGTCTGTGGATTCTCGTCTGATTTTGATTGCGTGCATATAAATTATATTGAATTTCAACGTTTTGTATTTTATTAGAAATATGGAGGTTTCATTTTATTAAATTTCCTTCCTTGGAGGTGTTCCAAAGTTATACGGTGTCTTTGATATCGTGCATACAATTTAAACGAAAAAATAACTGATTTGATATATGTACAATGGAATTGTATAATATTATTTTATTTCAATTTCTTAATTCTCTTTTTGATTCCTTCTTCCAGCTGCCACTTAAGTACCGTAAACAAAAGTATATTCTCACGCCAACGCGTCATTTAGTGGCGTCATATTCTACTTAAACGCCTTTCAACAGTCTAGCAACCACAACAACTACACCTGAAATCGATTTTCATCAGCATATCGAAGCTTTTGTTTTGTCCTCTCAAATGAACTGCTCAACATTTTCATACCCAACTCTTACCCTGCCTCACTAGCTAAACTCTATCTATCTCTTTTGTAGAATGCAAATTCGTATTGAATTAAAAATTGAAGAGTCTTTTAAAGAAAATCTTATAAGTTGTAGAACTTGAGTTGCACTCGGTGACGCTTGAGTGCACTTCAGGGTAATTTACGTGCTCCGCAGCTTAGACTTAAAGAACAAAAGCGAGGGCCTCAGCCCTCAATAGTTTCACTGGTGCACTCGTAAGAGGCGGACAGACAGGAAGAAGCTGACAAAGGAATCACGTTCAGGCTGATGAAAAAAGGCCAATATGCGGTGATGTCATGAGTTTATATGCTGAGGGCGGTGGAAAGAAATCGCTCTCTATCGTTAGTGTTTGTTTATATGTTTTCAAATGTATATTTGTGACAACAAAAGCGGCTAGAGACAATGAGTGTTGGTGCTACAACGAGAACACCCTTGAATAATAAACATTCACACTGTAACAATACAAGGTTTTATTATCAATTTTTTTTCTACATTTGCACGGACAAGCCCAAAAACATATGCAACAGTATGTATATGTGCTAGCAACAAGTGTAGAAAACTAGCAACAAAAAGTACACATCAAAATCTGTAAAATCTAAAATGTCATGACAATGCGCGCTGCTGTCATTTTTATGTCACATACAAATTTGTACAACAACAAAAAAATTTAATTTTTGGTTAGTCAGACATCGTTAGAAATGAAAGTGTGTGTGAATAAATAATGCGTTTTGTGGCTGCTACGGTCGGTTAGTGCACTTGACGGCAATTTGTTGTCTACTTTAGGCGCAAGATTGCAGTGACGACATTTTTTGTAGTTTTGCTGTTAAAAACCTACTATTTGAAGCATTCAAATTTTTGCCGTTAAATTAATGTCCTTAAACTTTTGGAGCCTGGACAAAATTATGGACAAAAAGTTAGTTTTAGGATGTGACTTTACAACTTAATTAAAGCTTTAAACTTATATCGCCAACAAAAGTAGAATATTTTCTTAATATCGTTAATACCACGTTGTGGTGTCAGGGGTGCGCAATATACAATCTTTACTATTTACATAGAAAACAAGTGAGAGCCAAAAAAATGTAGTAACAATTCTCGATTCTGTGCTCTGACCGGCCACCGAAAAGCCAGCCTGCCGGCTGAGCTATTCAAACTTGGCGGTGAAGAGCTGGCAAGGCGCATACATCAAGGTCTTTGTGCAATACGATCGGACGAAAGCATCCCAGTAATTGAAAATTAAGTGTGATTTCCCCATTCCATGAAAAGAGGGTTGGTTCTAGCTATGTGATTAGCCACTTAAATATCGCACACAAGGTTTTCTCAAGCATATTGTGTGAAAAACTAAAGCCCACCGTCAATAAGCTGATTGAACCCTATCAATGTGGTCTTACACTTGGTAAATCAACCATTTAACGGACATTAACCATGCAGCAAATTTAGAAAAAGACAGTGAAAAGACGATCGACAGATTCCACCACTTCGTCGATTTTAAAGCTATCTTCGACAGCATGGTAGGGAGCTGCCTCTATGACATTAAGACTGAATTTTGTATTCCTGCGAAACTTATTCGAATCTGGATAGACCTCTCCGAGAAGTTCGAAAGCAAACAAAGTTTCATGCAAAATGAATCTATATAATGCGATTTCTTCACTTTGTTGCTGGAGAAAGTAATAACTAATGCTCCAAGCAAAAGTACTTTTTTCAATAGTTTTTTTTTTAACAGACCACACGTGAGACGTGTCATCTCAGTTTTTTTCAGTATTGTGTGGCGTTTCATCAAGGAAAGATTTAGGCCTGCACAGTACTTACAAATCGTCCAACTTCCTTAGGAAAATTCATGTGCTGTAAAGAATATGTTTCGCGTGCTCCGCTCAACTTACGGTCAACATAATCGGCCTACTGAGCGTACTATTCGCCCATTTTGAGGCCCAGAATCCTTAACCGAGAGTGTACACGAAAACCGTGGGGAGATAATTTTACTCAGTTCGCTTCGCTCTATGTGCTCTTGAAAAGTTCCAAGAAGTACAATAAAATAACTGCATTTGGAGCGAAGGCCTGACAAGATTCAAGAGCTGCAATTTGGTTCAGAAAAAACAACGGTTTGGTGCACTTTATAGGAAGGTGGGATCATTGGTCCATATTTCTGCAGTAATGATGCCGGTAAGAACGTAAATTTCAATGGCGACAGTTATGGTGCCGTGTAAGCCGACTATTTGACACCTGAAATTGGTATTTGGTTTCAACCAGACGGTGCTACTTTCCACTATATTTGAAAGAGATAATTTTCACAAAAATAAAAGCCAATAATGTTCCTTCGAATGATAATAAACGAGCCGTTAGTTCTGCCTTCTCTAAGTTTTATAAAGAACCGAAACGAATGAGTCTAGTAGTGAATGAAAACAAGACAAATATCTACTGTCATCAAACAAACAGTCGGCATACTTAGGGCTTTGCTCCCACATTACTGTCGAGGTCGAATGTAATTTCGTCTATATAGGGACCAGCGCTTACACCAACAACAATGCTAGCCGTGAAATCCAACAAAGAATCACCTTTTTCAGCAGGTGCTACTTTGGACTACTCAGTGACAATTGAAAAGTAAAGTCTACTAGCATTGTTGTTGGTGTAAACGCTGGTCCCTATATATACGAAAAAAACTAAACTCTAGAAAGAATGACTGCTTTCCGTCCTCCTATGTGCTGCAGAAGCCTGGCCGAGTCGCTGTACCTGTTATACGGCGACTTTGAAATAGTTCAGGAAGCGAAGAGACAGCGGATACCCTGGTTAGGTTATGTCAGCTTTGAAAGTATTCGATGCAGTACGTACTGGCGAAAGCAGAGGAATAGGAAGACCTCCACTCCGTCGGAAGAATCACGCTTAAAGCGAACTGGTTTCATTTGGTATTTCTAGCTGGTCCCAAACAGCGAAGATAAGAACCAAATGGCGCGCTACTATTAATTCGGATATAATAGCGTAAGCGGTGGCCACGCCAATGAGGAAGAAAAAGAAGTAATAATACACAAAAATTTTCTGATTTTTTTCAACAATCATATTGGGAGTATTGAGAGGATCTACATTGCAAAACTAGTCCGGCTTCTGAGCACCTAATCTTTCTTCCGCTGTCAAACCTTCAAAAAAATAAGAATATAAAAATTATTAATATTAGAGTCCCTACATCATTGACCGAAAAGTCGGTAAGCAGTTTGAAAAACATGAAATGAGGACATATTGAATAATAAAAGAAAATTGGTCTCTAGGCCAATGAGATTTTTATGTCTCTAAATCGCGAAAACCTGGGTTCGAAAGAGCCATCGATAGTCGGTGGTAAGCTACCTCATTTCTTTATGCTAACAATGTCGAGGAGAAGTATTGTTGTATGAGGATAGAATACACTAAAGATGGATCTAACGACTTGATAGCGTTAGCGGTGATTACCGAAACGGCAGGTAAGCTTGGGCCACTTCCGCTCAACGAAACCTGTAAAATTCTATGCCATGGTAGCGACTGAACTCTCCTATTGTTCACTTCAACTGCAAGATGAAGAGTTTTCAGTTCACAATAACCTCGACTGAACAAAATACTGTAGCGCTTCACTATCTTTAAAGTACACAGAAACACCCTTGAATTGTTGATTTGATACTAATAATATTAAAATTATATATAAAATTATATACACACATATTTCCCATCACTTACCTCTAGCAGTTAAATTCACATATATCCATAGAAATATCCATGAGTATTTTGTTGCTGTGAATGCTGTGGGTGTTGTGCTGGCAATCAGTGTTGTCAATGTGGTTAAAAATATGCGCAATGTGGTGGCAGCGTAAAAGGCCGACAAGCGTATGGCTGGCGACATAGTGACTGTTGCTGTTGCTGTTTTTATTGCCGATGAAGATGTTGATGTTGATATTGTTGTTGATGTCCTTACATCTGATGCTGAACAAATGTTTGTTGCTACCGTTGCCAATGAATTGCTACTTTTTGCTGGTTGTTTCACATCATTTGCTGATGCATTTCCGCCACTACAACAAAAACTAGAAAAAGTAGTACAACTGTTATTGCTGTGTTGAGCATTACAATCGCTGAGTTTTGGAAGTGTCTCGATAGCTGGCATATTTTTGAGTGATACAGTTCTATAAACCGTTATAGATGATAACTTTGCTGATAAGCTCGCAAGCATGTCGTGCGTTGGTGCGTTGACTGCTATTGGCATTGCTTCTATTGTTGTTCCTTCTACTGCCGGTGCATTAGATGTCTCTAATATTGATGAGTATGTAGTTGAAAATTGCTGCTGAGTACATTTTGTTGTTTTGGTATTATGATTTATGTCTTCTTGTTCTTCTTCCATTTCCTCTATACGCATAGTGTTTCCTTTTCTTTTTCGACGCCGCCGCAAGCGTCTTTTTTTGCGTGTGCACAGTCTTTCAATTGTTTTGGGTGTTCTACGATAGCTGTCATTTGGTTCTAATATATTGCTTTTATTTATATAGTTGTTGTAAGACCAGTCGGATGTGTGCCGTTTATTGCTGCTACTGTGTGCTTTGTTACTACAGAAAGTTCTATTAATTTTTATATGAGCTTTTGATGCTTTTGCATACTGCTTTTGAGCGCTTAAAGTGCTTTCACTCTCGGTACAACAACTTGTTGAAAACTTGAATGATTTAACGCTTTCACTATTTGCTACCAGCCTTGACACTTTATAGCTTTCATACAAAGTTGCAGTTAAGCTCGTTTTACTCTTGCTTTGTTTGACGTGACATACACGCCTCATTTCCCAACAATGCTGCTCGTCTTCAAACCTTAACTGTTTGCTGGTTATACAAGTATTGCTTTTCAAAGTGCTCACAAAGCTTTCATTCACACATAAGTTTTGTAAACTTTTTGCATTGCGCGAGCTAACAAATTTATAAATGTGGCTTTTAGTGCTATTGGGAAGCAACTTTTGCCAATAAACTCTGAGCGTTTGACGCTTGCGCACATTTCGTTTAGGCGTAGTTGCTTTAAAGCTATCTTTCGAACCTTTTCGGCGAGTTTTACGTAAAAAATTCAGATAAGTTACATTCCGCTTGCTACTACTGCTGCTTCCGTTGCTAGACTTGGTGCCGTTGTAGTAACTTTGATTCGAGCTGATTTTTTTGAATGATGCATTGCTTGCTGTTACCCTACAGGCATGATGATAGTTGTAATCGTCCTCGTCGTCGATTGCAATCATTTTTCTACATTTGCGAATATTTTACTTTTATAATCTCTAAAGCTTTCACTAAATATTTTGAAGCTTTAAGCTTTTAAATTTTAACTAGTGTTCAAGCGATTGTATTAATTTTTTTTAGCAGTACCTCGCTGAACAATAATTTTAGCTGCTGCTTTAAAGCTCTCTACAGCAAGTTTCTTTTACGTTGTAGTGTGCCAGCTTTTTTCAAGTATTCTACACAGACTTTGCGTCATTATTATAAGCGGTTCTAGATCAATAAAGCTTTTCTATGCTTGTATAAAGTCTAGTTTTGTTTTTAATTAGCTGCCTTAGTTATATGGCGAGTATTGCACGCAGGTTACTTTACAAACATATCAGTACATACATATATATGCATTTCGCGATATTTTAAAAATGCATTTCATGTTCTTATCTTCAGCTGAAATTGTCAATGTTTTAATAAGTTTTTATTAAGTTGCTTTGTTTTTTTTTATTACAACCGAAGAGTCTAACGCCTCTGCTTCCCTTCCTGTTATCTTCTGTAAATATTTTTATAACTAATTTGTGCTGTTGCATGTGTTGATTTCTCTTTGACACTTATAGTTAAAATTTTATAAAACCGGTAGCATCTTTAGTGTTTTTATTCTTCACATTGATATTTATGGAATTTTATTTTCTATTTTGCGCTTAGTTTTTTTTTGGTTTTGTTCTTTGGGTAAAATTAATATTTACTGATGTTTCCTTAAGTATTTATTTTTGGTTTCACATTTCGCTATTAGTTTAATTATTGATTAATCATGGCAGTGATCTGTAACATGATGAATGGCAATGAGCGTCAACTGCAAAGAAAAGAAAAAAAGTAAATTTAACTTTTTAGATACATATGCGTTTGTTTAGGTCTGATGTACTCGTAAATTCGTAATTTTAGATGGGACAGCTTTAGTAATATAAAACTAGGGAATCACAAGCTCAATTACTTGACAAACCTTTACATCTGCAAAGTTTTTTTCATCTAAATGTGTTCGCCCCTCAGACACAAACTAATCCTCAGAAAAAATTTTCCATTTAAAGTCGCTTCACCACATTATATGTCGTTAATCACAGAAGTATTGTATTATGCGAAAAGGATTGAGAAAATCTTAGAAATTCCTAATTTTTTCTGATTAAGTCGATAATTCTGTTTTGCGTTTTTATAGCTATAGCTTACTCAATGTCGAAAAAATATTCATAATCCTATACAAATCGTAAAAGCATTGTAGTTCATATTAGTATCGAGGAGTGCTGGAAGTTCGAAAGTTTTCAAATTTTTATTATGTTCCTCAAAAGTTCTTTATTACCTTGTAAACTTAGCATGATACAAAAATTCTATAGGTTAGCTTCACTTCGAAATGTTCGATACTAAACGTATTTCCTAAGAAGTGATTGATCTTGCCACTTAAAGAATATTCAATTTGGAGATTTTTTTATTATTTTTGGGTTTATCCTCTAAGCAGTTGCTATAATATTGATTACGCATATGGATCTATGAAAATATTTGTTTCAAGTCTTTCTTCTTAGGTGGATGGATATTTTTATTATTTATTTCGAAACTGAGGCTTATAAATTATCTTGACTATATGCGAACCATCCGTTGCTTAGCAACTTGGTCATAGGGACACAAGATAGGGTAGGTGTTCCTCAAAGAACTTTTCTGCCATTGTCCAGTTCTCAATATTTTTCGTTATCGATTTCTCTGAAATTTCTTCTTCGAAGAGCTTACATCTCTCGGCATCATTGATCTTCTGAACTTAGTAAAATACACCAAGTGGTTTGAGCATGGAAAAGGGGAATCTTCTTCATAGAACCTACATACGTATCATAACGAGAACAGGGTTCCGTGATCGAGCAACCTGTTTACTTAACTAACTGACTAGATTTTCAAATATCAATTAATTTTGCGTTTAGATTGAATGCAAAAGTGTTTGGGAACTTAATCGACCTAAGCGACGTTTGCTTGTACTGCTCTAAAACACCAATAATTATTAAAACAATGTCCTATCTACTAACAAAATGTCTTTGAAATATCTATAAATTTGTGATACTGATTTGGGTTCAAACGGGGTTCACATCCGGTCAGTCTATCATCTTGAATTCGGTTCAAATTTTGGTGGGCGAACCTCTTCCTCTCTGATACTTTCTTACAATTTTCTCGTAGTGAACAATCATGAAAGGCATACGCTCGAACTGCTTGATTTTGATTTTAGAGCATTGAGTAATGAACTAGTGTGCAAGCACTCGTTGCTCAAATGTTCGAGCTGATCGAAAATGTTCCAAAGAATCCTGAGTTTAGTCCACAGCTCACAAAAATATTTTGGTTTTGATTAAAATTCACTTAATAATTTATCTCAACTAAATTGAATATTTATTATGGTAACTAAAGTTTTGGGGCATTCTATGGGGATAGCTTCTATAAGCTTTTGAAAAATTTGCTTAGTACTTTTTATATTCTTTAAGCAAGGAAAGGCTTTGTTTTGCTAACTTCGTAGGCCCAACAATTTTGATAGCTGAGTATATAGAAAAATATTCATATGCTATTTTTTTGTTTAAAAGCATTCGTCAGTTTGAGTATTCAACATCTTGGGCTATATGTTTCAGGTCAAGGATGTTCCATTTTTTGCACTGGAATTGAACTTTTTTTAAAAATGGATTAAGAAACATTTTTAATCATTTCCTTCCAGAAAATTTTTAACGGACATTCAACCCATTTCCGTGCCAGAATCTACGTTACCCAACTTGTTTTCTAATATATTTTTTTTTTGCTTGCATGTATTGAGGAAGGAAAGTCATATTTCTTTGTTGACATTGAAAATTGGCGGTTTTTAAGTTACAAACGTTTATGCACAGTACTGCTAGGCAATTTTTGAACTTTTTGTCTGTAATTTTGGGTTTGGTTTGTTGCTTGTAGCTTACCAATTATATTGAGAATTGTGGCAGAATTCAATATTGCATTTTAACGGTTTTCGGTTAAATCCTTTATAAGGGTTAGGGAAATTCCTTATGGAATATTATAGAGTACGTGTATTTGGCAAACGTTTATTCCCAAGATGAGGAGATATCATACCCTTTATCATTAAAAAAAATTTCCCGAGATTTCGTTTCTCAACTAAAGGTAACTGATAAATAATTTAACTATGAAATGTTTTTCATGTTTTAATATACTGAAATGCTAAAAGGTACTGAATGCTATCAACATTCCATTTGAAAACAAAAGAAAATATCTATAAGTCAGACGTTTTCAAATCTTTGTATCCATCGCTTAACAGTTGCAACCAACCTGCTTTTAGCAAAAGTTGGGTTTCACATTGCAAAAAAAAGAAAAATACAACATCGGCTAAATTTGTTTGAAACACTGATGGGGCTGTGTTGTTGTTGTTATAACCGCAAAAATATTACCCAAGGTACTTTTTGGGGAATGTCTCGGGAGTGACAGTTGTCAACTTCACCGAAGTGTCAGTCATGAGCCCCAGAAATCTTGAAGAATGCTATAATATCATTGTGCCTCTGTGCAAGAGGTGGAAGGGATTTTTCATCAATCATTATGACAGTAACAGAGTTCATTATATTGGAACTTATATAGGTATGTGATCCTTATTTCCAGATTTTGACGGCATGTACTAAATATCCAAAAGCGCGGTATGTTTCACTTATTTAGAACCTTTCTAAAGAGCTAAGTTTCACGCATTCTTTATGGGAAAGTGGAACTCAATACTTGTTGTTGATTTACAAACTTTGTAATCCATTAAACTCATTTAATATAAATAATTGTTTTTGCAATTTTACTTTGAGCTTTTCGCATACCTTAACGTTAATTTAAAGCTGTGATGCCACCATTCCTCTATTTTAATAAATTCTTGTTGATTAAAATAAATTGTTAATTATCGTTCCAATCGCTAGTGCAAATGACAAATTTGTAAGTCTGCGATTCGGCAAAGACTATCTTTACTGAATTCCACTATTATATATGTGGCTTTTCGCAAATTATCTCTCAATATTTGACTTTGTTTTCTCACTCTCACTCACCTTCCGTTCGGTGTCGTCCGTAGTAAACAAAATAGAAATTCATGTTATCGTGAATAATAGTAATATTTATACACACTCAAATACACCAGTTGGACTAAAAATTTTAAATCAAAGATTTCTTCGACGTATTCAAAATACTTTTGAGAATTCAAATTTTTGTCGGCTAACCGATTTTCGTTATTGTGGCTTAATGGAATATAATGCATATCATCTCTGAGACAACACTGTAGGGTGTAGAAATACTAAATTCAAAAGTTTCACCATATGCAAAATATTTCTGTGAGCAGCTATATATAATATTTACTTGCATATACAATATGATAAAAGAGTATAGCCATCTGCAGAAAATTTTTAGTTATTAAAAAATTTTTTAAATAAGTTTATGAAGCAAGGAACAGAGAATTAATGGGGTTTAAAATGGTGTGTAATTGAAAAAGCTTGGGAGAGTTTAATTTTTTATCCAAGTAATTTAGGACAGTCGCAATAGGTGAGTGGTTAGCATTACGTATTTCAATTAGGAAGGGCAGGGATTAATATCCGAAACTAATTTTTCTAATTACGGTCACCCCTCGGCAAGGGATATCAAACTCTTCGAGTGTATTTCTGGCTTGAAATAAAAGTTTCTCGTAGAATCCTTCGGCTATGGGGAATCTATATTCTTTCGAAATCAGACACATAAAAACTAACAAAAACTTGTAATTAATATTATGCAGTTATTTATTTCTTCCTATTCTGTTTTCTTCAGGTTAAAACGCCAATTTTTAATGGAACCTTATATTCCACTCTGAGCTCGAATTGAAATATTTGGTTAATCTCAGAAAATTAAAACCAAACTGCACGGGCAGTACAATGTCCCCACAGGGTGTTTTTGCACAATTTGCATAGACAAGCAAATTTGTATGTATACCTGATAGCGTACGGAAATGTTTGTTTGTATCCAAAATTTCAGAAACTAAAAAAAGCTACGTATGATTGTGTACAAAAAAAAAAAAACATTTACAAAAGGATAAATATAATATTAGACTGGATTTAGATCACATACCTACCAACAACTAAAGTTTGTAAATTGAATTGTGCAACAGGGTAAAATAAATATAAAAATACAATTGCATTGTTGGGCTGTAAGCTAAACAGAATAAATAAACACAAACAAGCATACACATAAAAAATTAAAACATAGCGAAAACAAAAGCGTAAACAAATAACTTCCTCTTTCAATTTACGAAATCACTGCTTTGCTTTGCCAGTTTTACTTTGCGTTTGTAAATAGAAATGACATTCAGACATACATATGAGTATACATTTATATATATATATACATTTACATATGTACAGTTGTTTGTATATTTAAATTAAAATATTCCGAGGCACTAGTGCTTTTAAAAAATTCATCTTAACACAGAACAGAAATAATAGAAATCTTCCACTTACACTTTGCTACTACGATAACAGTACAGGTGATTTGAAAATTGAATTCACTAATCAACCTCGTAAGGCTCGTAATTTCATGCCGCTTTATGACACTCGTACGTCTACAAAAATAACACTATTTGTGTTAACTGACTATGTAGCAGACGAGAGCCAATTTAAATAGAATTGGAGGTGGTAAGGAAAAAGAAATGGTTTCTACTTAATAATAATAAGCCCAACGAATACCCTCCACCCGCCCGACCGACACGAGAGGCGGCAACCGTATAACATACGGAATATGCCGAGTCATGATTGGGATGCGTTTTTTACTCAATAGCTGAGATTTAGTAATTATCGAATTTTAAAATTT